CGGTCCTGGTGCTTGCTGGACTTTCTTGGGCGCCCTGAAGCCTTCTTCACAACAATTGAACCTCTCTCCTTGAAGTTCTTGATGATCCGAAAAATGGTTGATTTAGGTGCAATCTTACTAGCAGCAATATCCTTGCCTGTGAAGCCCTTTTTGTGTAAAGCAATGATGACGGCACGCGTTTCCTTTCAGATAACCATGGTTAACAGAGGAAGAACAATGATTTCAAGCACCTTTTTAAAGCTTCCAGTCTGTTATTCTAACTCAATCAGCATGACAGAGTGATCTCCAGCCTTGTCCTCGTCAACACTCTCACCTGTGTAAACGAGAGAATCCCTGACATGATGGCAGCTGGTCCTTTTGTGGCAGGGCTGCAATGCAGTGGAAATGTTTTTTTGGGATTAAGTTCATTTTCATGGCAAAGAGGGACTTTGCAATTAATTGCAATCCATCTGATCACTCTTCATGACATTCTGGAGTATATGCAAATTGCCATCATCAAAACTGAGGCAGCAGACTTTGTGAAAATGTGTATTTGTGTCATTCTCAAAACTTTTGACCACGACTGTACTCTCTAGCGCTTTGCTGTAGCCTATTCGTTGAATAGCTCTCTAGTCATGGTTTTAAAAGTTTTGAAATCTCACAGTATCAACTTTGCTCTGCTTCTTTTTCCAGTCTATAGGCTCAAGGAAACTGTGCAGACACGGTGATCTGAGCTATCTGATTGGCCAGCGGTAGGCCTGTAGGTGCTCTTGATTTGATCTCTGGGCCCGCCGGTAGGCGGAGTTCTACCTTCAGACACATTAAATGGTTCAAAATGGGAACACTTTGCCTTCCCAGCGCTGGGGCTGTTGAATCAAGTGTACATACCGTCAACAGCACAAAACAAATAACACATTTTTGAAACGCAAGGCTTTATCGTTGGGGTTTTTACAGAAATGTTTGGTGATTGACTAGGAATGCCTTGGAGATCGACCAGTCGATCACGATCGACGGGTTGGTGACCACTGAACTACAATGACCATAATCCATTGCGCGCCTACTTGTCTGGTCTGTGTGGTACAGACAATAGAGAATGATAGAGGCCTGTAGTGGCCAAAAGGCCATTTCAGCATGGGCAGCGCCATTGAGGGCCTCCTCCATGCTTCCAACATTTTAAAGTAGTCAACTGGGTGGGGATTCCTTTGGATTGTAGCCTTAGTGGCGCTGCCCATGCTGTCACAGACGCTGTAATGGCACAGATATAAAGATGAGTCCTCTATCAATCTCTATGCCGCAGACAAGGAGATGGAGAGAAGAGACAGAAGAACGCGTGATCGAGAGGGGTAGAGAGCAGCTGCTTCGTGAGGTATCTTTACCTGAAAATACATGATATAAGTGTTTGATAGTTGGCAGTCATAAAAGGATGCCTTATTTACTTTGAAGAACTACTAAAATTGTGATTTTGTCAGACAGCACAGCTCTATAGAGATGAGATGATGACTTGGAATGAAATAATAAAGTTGTCAAATAGGGCTAAAACACATTTAATATACACAACAACTGAAATATTTGTATTAAAGTACAGTAATGTGAATAAATAATAATAATAATAATAATATGCCATTTAGCAGACACTTTTATCCAAAGCGACTTACAGTCATGCGTGCATACATTTTTGTGTATGGGTGGTCCCGGGGATCGAACCCACTACCTTGGCGTTACAAGCACCGTGCTCTACCAGCTGAGCTACAGAGGACCACAATAAATTATAGTTAGTAAGTGATAAGCAGTAATGGGTAGTCACTACCATCATGGGACTTTTATTAATTGTTTTATTCTGTGTTACAGCATTCAAGCCGCATTTAATGTCTTTATTTTGTTTTGAAAACCGTGATTGTTTTTTAATTGAAACTAAACCGAACCGACCTCAAAAAGCACTAATCGCTCAGCCCTTGTCTCTTTATTATTATTGTTATTCACAATTTATACACAATTGAATTATTGCTGGATTTTATTCAGTTGAAACTAAAATAATGAATAAATTGATAATGAACTAGAATCTAAATAAATATCCAATGATTTGTCATTCACTGTCTCTCTCCTCTGTATCTTCCATTTACTCTCAGCAGAATAGCTGAGCAATCCCCAGTCTCTCTCGCTCTCCCCCCCCCCCCCCCCCTTGTCTGCCAGCCCCTATAGCTGACACGTGATCACAGTCTAAAACTAAAGAACCATTTACAGACTCTTTACTTCCACTTTAACTAGTGATCAAAACTCTTTCTCCCCCACAGCCCCATGAAAGACAACAGAGATCTGTTCCTCACACTGCTCCATACCTGACACTTCATCCCTCCATCTCACACTCATCTGTAGAGGAGAGGATGGCTGGAATGGAGAGGAGAAAGGAGGGGGAGGGGAAGAAAAGGGGGGAGGTTGGTCTGATATGAGAAACTGAAACCGTGAGGCAGCTAGAAAATGTTTGGAGATGCGTGACTATGACTGGATCTGTGTGCGTATGTGTGTGTGTGCATGCATGTGTTTCTACGTGTGTGACATGAGGCACGCATGACGCACACACACACACTGCACTAATCCACTGGCTGAGTCTTAGAGAGAGCAGTGTTCAGGCATTATCCTACCCAGCACGAGAGGAAATGCTCTCCTTCTCTCTCTCTCTCTCTCTCTCTCTCCTTCTCTCTCTCTCTCCTTCTCTCACTCTCTCCTTCTCTCTCTCTTCTCTCTCTCCTTCTCTCTCTCTCTCTCTCTCTCTCTCTCCTTCTCCCTCTTTCTCCCTCTGCCTATATCGTGTTCGCTTTACCTCTCAGTCCCTCCCTCTCCTTTCCCCTCCCTCCCTCCCTCTCTCCCGCCCTCTTTCTCTCACTCCTCTCTCTCTCTCTTCCTCTCTCTGTCACAGTAGAGTGAGGCTCAGTGTGAAAATGCCATCGTGCTCTCCTGACTGTTGCCTCTTTCAGGCTGTAGAGGTAAGCGTGTGTGTAGTGGGTAGAGTGTGTGTAGTGGGTAGCTTGTGTGTGGGTGTAGTGCTTGTGTGTGGGTAGAGTATGTGTGTTGTGGGAAGTGTGTGTATAACTTTAGCGGTGACGACATTCCACGTTTAGAAACTTTCTCAAACTACTACGAGACGCAATAAATACTTTTCTTCTTTTGTTTCTGGCGTCTCCTTTCTAGTGCGTACCCTTTGTGTTCTCTGCTGTCCTGTCTCTGTCCTGTCCAGTAATGGTCAAGACACGGCCCGGGCACAGGGCTGGGACGGGGGACGGAGGAGGCAGAGAGAGCTGTGGCGTTGTTTTTGGTTTCCTGTGATTCTCTGTGTTCTACTGTGGAGTTGTTTGTAGTGTCGTGGGATTCTGTGTTCTACTGTGGAGTTGTTAATAGTGTCGTGTGATTCTGTGTTCTACTGTGGAGTTGTTTCTAGTGTCGTGGGATTCTGTGTTCTACTGTGGAGTTGTTTGTAGTGTCGTGTGATTCTGTGTTCTACCGTGGAGTTGTTTATAGTGTCGTGTCGTCTTGATGGGTTTGGGGATAAAACTTAGGCACAGAAATTTAGGCACATTTTCTGCACACGCGCACACACACACAACACGCTCACACACACGCTACACACACACACACACACACACACACACACACAAACACACTTCCTTGCTTAGAGGAAGAAGAGTAGGATGGATGGATAGATGGATAGATAAATATCTCTATCAATAGGGTTTTGCTCATAGGCGTATGTGTGTATTTGAGTAAATGTGGGTGTTTTTGAGGCGTGAATATTTGTGTGTATATCATTAAGTGCGTATGTATATTTTTAAGTGTGAGTATTGTATATGTTTAGGTGAATGTATGTATATTTTCAGGCATATGTTTAGTGAGTACATCTCAGAGGTATGTATGTATGTATGGTGTGGATAGCTCAGGCATATTGGTAAATGTGCTACGAATGTGTAAACGGTTGAACCATGGTTTTCAGACGAGAAATGTACGGTCATGGTCAGCGTTCGAGGATATCCTCATTTACAGAACATCAAATCAAATGTTATTTGTCACATGCGCCGAATACAACAGGTGTAGACCTTACTGTGAAATGCTTACTTACAAGCCCTTAACCAACAATGTAGTTTTAAGAAAGAGTTAAAAAAATATTTTACGGCCTCCCGAGTGGCGCAGCGGTCTAAGGCACTGCATCGCAGTGTTAAGGCGTCACTACAACCTGGGGTTCGATCCCAGGCTGTGTCATTACCGGCCGTGACCAGGAGTCCCATAGGGCGGCGCTCCGGTACCGCCTGCCATGTGGTAGCAGAGAGAACAGTCTGTACCACAGGATCCGGATTCAACCATCTGGATAGAACGTAGAACGGATAGAAAGTGTGTGTATGTCCGTGTGTGGTGGAGTGTCAGTAACAGTGAAAGTCCTACTGTGTGTTTCTCAGACAAAATTTTGGACCTAAAAGCTCAGTGGGGAATCTCTATAGATCAGGATTAGGCTTAATCTTCGTCCAGGAAACCAACCCTGTTTTATTAACATTTCAACTGACTTAAAAGGGCCATTATTTAGTCTGGATTATTATGATATGATAATAAGACATTAAAAGGCAGACAGTCATGCTTATGACAAGTCTTACAATGTGTTATAACTGCATCATAATGCATTATAGCTGCAGTGTTACAGTTTGAGTTAAGAAGGAATGTCTCTAGCAGTTCTATGTGCCAATTTCCTGGACACAGATTAAGCCTAGTCATATTGAGCATGCGTTTTAGTCCATGGGCTAGGCTTAACGGTTAACCGGCCCTTAATGTTTTGACTGCTCTTTACAGTGGCCTGTTTGTAAATGACTGCAAATGTATTTTGTGACCTTTCATTCAAATAAAGGTGAACAGTGATTATGTTTTTATATGAATACAATATTTCTCTCTCTCTCTCTGTCTCTGTCTCTGTCTGTCTGTGTGTGCAGATCATCAAGGTGTACAGTGAGGATGGAGCAGGGAAGGTGGTGGAGGTGCCGGCTGATATGAGGGCCAGAGATGTGTGTCAGCTCCTGGTCTATAAGAGCCACTGTCTGGATGACAACAGCTGGAGCCTGGTGGAGCATCACCCACTACTGGGCCTCGGTGTGTGTGTGTGTGTGTGTGTGTGTGCGCATCGAGTGTGTTAAGGTTGGGGAAGCATATACTATAGATCCTAGCTACCTAAAAGCTTCAATCACATAAAATCTACAGTTCTGTTTACCTTCTGTGACCTTTTTAGTGTGGTTTTATTGCCTCACCTTTTTAGTGTGGTTTTATTGCCTCACCTTTTTAGTGTGGTTTTATTGCCTCACCTTTTTAGTGTGGTTTTATTGCCTCACCTTTTTAGTGTGGTTTTATTGCCTCACCTTTTTAGTGTGGTTTTATTGCCTCACCTTTTTAGTGTGGTTTTATTGCCTCACCTTTTTAGTATGGTTTTATTGCCTCACCTTTTTAGTGTGGTTTTATTGCCTCACCTTTTTAGTGTGGTTTTATTGCCTCACCTTTTTAGTGTGGTTTTATTGCCTCACCTTTTTAGTGTGGTTTTATTGCCTCCCTCTTATTCTCTATCCTGTTTTCCACAAAGCTTTCCTATCTCTACTGACTGTTACTGGGATAGAAGACTGTTTTATACTTGATAGATAATCGTAATTTTTGGAAAAACTTAATGGGAGAGATGGAATGTGAGAGGAGCGCAGAGAAAGGGAGGGGGTGGAGAAAGAGAGGGAGAGGGGGAAGGGTGCAGAGGCACAGTGTCAGTATCAGGCCAATGCAGCAAACAGCCAATCCCAGAGCTGCATTGGTCGAGCCCCCAGACAGCTCAGACAATCAGCTCTCTCCCTCTACTTCAACAGGAAATTCCCCTGCTAGACGCCAGGACAGAGTGGCGCAGACACACACACACACACACACACACACACACACACACACACACACACACCTTGAGGTCTGTGTTAGCCAGCAGTGAGGCACGGTATGGGCTCAATCCTTTTTGAGCAACTGTGGGTTTTAGCACTGTGTGTGTGTGCGTGCGTCCAACCTGGAACATCGTGTCACTATGGGTTTCCAATCAGCTAGAGTCATGTGATCTCAAGATCAAGAGAGGGAGAGAGAAAGGAGAACACACACTTCTAGCCTATACATCAAAACAAAAATAGAGATAGTTAACAATGTACGAGGTCTAATACTCTCAATAGTCAACATCAGCTTTTTAGGGGGAGGAGTTACAGAGGGAGGGAGAGACAGAGGTAGAGAAGAAGAAGAGACTGAGGGAGGGAGGGAGGGAGGAGGGAGAGTGAGAGGTAGAGACATGGATGAGAAGCAGACAGAGGGAGAGATAGCTGGCGAGAGAGCTGGCCTCTGCTTCTTTGTCAAATCAAGTTAAATATATGACATCATCCTACTGCAATACCAAAACCTGCTTCTCTCACGTGTGCGTGCTCACAGCCTACCTACCAATGTCTTCCCTCCTCTCTTTTCCAGTGGCCCCTCACTCAGATACTGGAAACAAGTGTGATAACCAACTGTGACAATGCAAATAAATGGGCTAATTGCTGATGTCTCTCTATTCTCCCTCTCCCTCTCCCCCTCCTCTCTGCAGAGCGCTGTCTGGAGGACCATGAGTTGGTGGTTCAGGTTCAAGCCTCTATGACCAGCGACAGTAAATTCCTCTTCAGGAAGAACTATGCCAAGTATGAGTTCTTCAGGAACCCCCTGGTGAGTCCTCTGTACACACGCGCACACACACACAAACACACACCGTCGCACACACACACTGCCGCGCATGTTTGCACACACATGCCACACACACATAAGCACACACACACACTGCCTGAGTTGATTCAGTAAGAGGGAGTGACCTCACCTCAGGGCTTTGGTAATGACTACAGTAAAACTACCATGTCAATCACACTAAGAGGTGTGTGTATGAGTGCCCGCCAAGGAATTACGTCAGGGGGTGAGATCATACTGCATCTACTCTGGATCGCTCTCCTCTCTCCATCTCTCTCCCCTATCCTCGCTCTCTCTCCTTCTACTCTCTCTCTCTCTCTCGCTCTCTTTCTCTCTCTCCTTCCTTCCTTCCTTCCTTCCTTCCTTCCTTCCTTCCTTCCTTCCTTCCTTCCTTCCTTCCTTCCTTCCACTCTCTCTCGCTCATATCTCCCCACTCTTCTCTTTCTCTCATTCTCTCGCACGCCCTCTTAATAGTGGTTCCATCACTAATGTGATACTGAAGTCCCTGAAGTATTTTTCTCTCTGTTCTCTCATTCTGTTGTATTCTCTCTCTCCTTTTATTTTTCTCTATCTTCTTTCATTCGCTCTCCTAATTCAGTCTCTCTCTCTCTCTCTCTCTGTGCAGAACTTCTTTCCGGAGCAGATGGTGGCATGGTGTCAGGAATCTAACGGCTCCATCCCCCAGTCACAGCTCTTACAGGTGGAGTACTGTTACACCACACACACACACACACCCACGCATTCGCGCACCTCTATCCCCACATACACAAGCACACATTCCAGAGAGTCCTTACTCACTCCCCTGTGTGTGTTGGTACAGAACTTCCTAAACTCCAGCAGCTGTCCGGAGGTGCAGGGGTTCCTCTATCTGAAGGAGTCGGGGAGGAAGTCCTGGAAGAGACTTTCCATGTTCCTCAGGCGCTCTGGACTCTACTGCTCCACTAAGGGATCCTCCAAGGTAGGAAGAAAATCAGGGATGTGTCCAAAATGGCTCCCCATTCCCTGTGTAGTGCCCTTGTTTTTTGGCCATAGACCCTTATGGCAGCCAATTATCTATATAGTGCACTACACTAAAGAAACTACTCCAAGGAAGGACTGTTCAAACCCCCTCCCTCCCTCCCTCCCTCTAGGAGCCCAGACACCTCCAGTTGTTATCAGACCTGGAGGACAGCAGTGTGTTCACAGTGACCACAGGGAGGAAGCTGCACAACGCCCCCACTGACTACCAGTTCTGTATCAAGGTGAGGGACACACACACACACACACTGGCCCCAGGTAACAGATAGTCCTGTACTGTGTGTACCTCTGCTGGGGTTATCCCTGGATGTAACCAGGTTATACTGGCTCAGCCTAGTGGGATAAGCTGGGACAGGGCATGCTAGGACACACTGAGCCTGACACACAAACAGATCAAATGTTATTTTTCACATGCTTCATAAACAACAGGTGTAGACAAACAGTGAAATGCTTACTTACGGGCCCTTCCCAACGATGCAGAGAGAAAGAAAATAGAGAAATAATAGAAAAGTAATAATAAAAACACAATGAGTAACGATAACCTGACCTTCAGAAAGTATTTATACCCCTTGACTTATTCCACATTTTGTTGCCTTACAACCTGGAATTAAAATTGATTTTTGGGGGGCTTGTATAATTTGATTTACACAACATGCCTACCACTTTGAAGATGCAAAATATTTTTTCTTGTGAAACAAACAAGAAATAAGACTGAAAACTATTCACCCCTTTTTTCTGGTCACTCTTCTGTAAAGCCCAGCTCTGTGGAGTGTACGGCTTAAAGTGGTCCTATGGACAGATACTCCAATCTCCGCTGTGGAGCTTTGCAGCTCCTTCAGGGTTATCTTTGGTCTCTTTGTTGCCTCTCTGATTAAACGCCCTCCTTGCCTGGTCCGTGAGTTTTGGTGGGCGGCCCTCTCTTGGCAGGTTTGTTGTGGTGCCATATTCTTTCAATTTTGTAATAATGGATTTAATGATGCTCCGTGGGATGTTCAAAGTTTCTGATATTTTTTTATAACCCAACCCTGATCTGTACTTCTCCACAACTTTGTCCCTGACCTGTTTGGAGAGCTCCTTGGTCTTCATGGTGCCGCTTGCTTGGTGGTGCCCCTTGCTTAGGGGTGTTGCAGACTCTGGGGCCTTTCAGAACAGGTGTATATATACTGAGATCATGTGACAGATCATGTGACACGTAGATTGCACACAGGTGGAATTTATTTAACTAATTATGTGACTTCTGAAGGTAATTGGTTGCACCAGATCTTATTTAGGGGCTTCATAGCAAAGGGGGTGAATACATATGCACGCACCACTTTTCCGTTATTTAATTTTTTTAATTTTTTTGAAACAAGTTCACTTCACGTATTTGGACTATTTTGTGTATGTTCATTAAATGAAATCCAAATAAAAATAAATTTAAATTACAGGTTGTAATGCAACAAAATAGGAAAAACGCCAAAGGGGATGAATACTTTTGCAAGGCACTGTACACACAATACCCCATAATGACAAAGTGAAAAGGTTTTTTTTTTTTTTTTTATGTTTGCAAATTGAAAAATTCTCCCAGTGTCTGGTGTAAAGCAGACTGAACATTGACATTTACATTTACATAATTTAGCAGACGCTCTTATCCAGAGCGACTTACAAATTGGTGCATTCAACTTATGATAGCCAGTGGGACAACCACATTTTTTTGGTGGGGGAGGGGGGGGGTAGAAGGATTACTTTTATATTATTCCAGGTATTCCTTAAAGAGGTAGGGTTTCAAGTGTCTCCGGAAGGTGGTCAGTGACTCCGCTGTCCTGGTGTCATGGGGGAGCTTGTTCCACCATTGGGGTGCCAGAGCAGCGAATAGCTTTGACTGGGCTGAGCGGGAACTGTGCTTCCGTATAGAGGTAGGGGGGCTAGCAGGCCAGAGGTGGATGAACATAGTGCCCTTGTTTGGGTGTAGGGTCTGATCAGAGCCTGAAGGTAAGGAGGTGCCGTTCCCCTCACAGCTCCGTAGGCAAGCACCATGGTCTTGTAGTAGATGCGAGCCTCAACTGGAAGCCAGTGGAGTGTGCGGAGGAGCGGGGTGACATGAGAGAACTTGGGAAGGTCGAACACCAGACGGGCTGCAGCGTTCTGGTAAATTGTAGGGGTTTAATGGCACAGGCAGGGAGCCCAGCCAACAGCGAGTTGCAGTAATCCAGACGGGAGATGACATGTGCCTGGATTAGGACGTGTGCCGCTTTCTGTGTAAGGTAGGGTCGTACTCTGCGAATGTTGTAGAGCATGAACCTGCAGGATCGGGTCACCGCTTTGATGTTAGCGGAGAACGACAGGGTGTTGTCCAGGGTCACGCCAAGGTTCTTTACACTCTGGGAGGAGGACACAATGGAGTTGTCAACCATGATGGCGAGATCATGGAGCGGGCAGTCCTTCCCCGGGAGGAAGAGCAGCTCCGTCTTGCCGAGGTTCAACTTGAGGTGGTGATCCGACATCCACACTGATATGTCTGCCAGACATGCAGAGATGCGATTCGCCACCTGGTTATCAGAAGAATTGTGTGTCGTCTGCGTAGCAATGATAGGAGAGACCATGTGAGGATATGACAGAGCCAAGTGACTTGGTGTATAGAGAGAATAGGAGAGGGCCTAGAACTGAGCCCTGGGGGACACCAGTGGTGAGAGCACGTGGTGCGGAGACAGATTCTCGCCACGCTACCTGGTAGGAGCAACCTGTCAGGTAGGACGCAATCCAAGAGTGAGCAGCGCCGGAGATGCCCAACTCGGAGAGGGTGGAGAGGAGGATCTGATGGTTCACAGTATCAAAGGCAGCAGATAGGTCTAGAAGGATAAGAGCAGAGGAGAGAGAGTTAGCTTTAGCAGTGCGGAGAGCCTCCGTGACACAGAGAAGAGCAGTCTCAGTTGAATGACCAGTCTTGAAACCTGACTGGTTTGGATCAAGAAGGTAATTCTGAGAGAGATGGCAGGAGAGTTGGCTAGAGATGGCACGCTCAAGAGTTTTTGAGAGAAAAGAAAGAAGGGATACTGGTCTGTAGTTGTTGACATTGGAGGGATCGGGTGTAGGTTTTTTGAAGAGGGGTGCAACTCTCGCTCTCTTGAAGACGGAAGGGACATGGCCAGCGGTCAAGGATGAGTTGATGAGCGAGGTGAGGTAAGGGAGAAGGTCTCCGGAAATGGTCTGGAGAAGAGAGGAGGGGATAGGGTCAAGCGGGCAGGTTGTTGGGAGGCCGGCCGTCACAAGTCGCAAGATTTCATCTGGAGAGAGAGGAGAGAAAGAAGTCAAAGCATAGGGTAGGGCAGTGTGAGCAGGACCAGCGGTGTCATTTGACTTCATAAATGAGGATCGGATGTCGTCAACCTTCTTTTCAAAATGGTTGACGAAGTCATCCACAGAGAGGGAGGAGGGAGGGGGAGGAGGAGGAGGATTCAGCAGGGAGGAGAAGGTGGCAAAGAGCTTCCTAGGGTTAGAGGCTTGACATTTAAAGTGGTAGAAAGTGGCTTTAGCAGCGGAAACAGAGGAAGAGAATGTAGAGAGGAGGGAGTGAAAAGATGACAAGTCCGCAGGGAGTCTAGTTTTCCTCCATTTCCCTCTTCTGTGAGCTCAAACATTAGGGTTAGTATTGTGGATTAACTACAATCTCCTATCACAGCCATTAAACTCTGTAACTGTTTTAAAGTCACCATTCGCCTCATGGTGAAATCCGTGAGCGGTTTCCTTCCTCTCCGGCAACTGAGTTAGGAAGGATGTTTGTATTTTCTTTGTAGTGACTGGATGTATTGATACACCATCTAAAGTGTAATTCATAACTTCACCATGCTCAAAGGGATATTCAATGTCTGTTTGTTTTTTTACCAATAGGTGCCCTTCTTTGCGAGGCATTGTTAAACCTCCCTGGTCTTTGTGGTTGAATCTGTGTTTGAAATTCACTGCTCGACTGAGCGACCTTACAGATAATTGCTTGTGTGGGGTACAGAGATGAGGTAGTCATTCGGAAATCCTGATAAACACTATTATTGCACACAGAATGAGCCCATGCAACTTATTATGTGACTTGTTAAGCAAATTTATTCTCCTGAACTTATTTAGGCTTGCCATAACAAAGGGGTTGAATGCTTATTGATTCAACACATTTCACCTTTTAATTTGTAAAATTTCTAAAAACATAATTCCACTTTGATATTATGGGTTATTGTGTTTAGGTGTCCACATACTTTTGCATATATGGTGTATGTACATATAACTAGGAATAAAGTGACAGATCAAACAGTAGCAGCAGCGTATGTGATGAGTCAGAGTTGGTGCAAAATGGGTCAATGCAGATAGTCTGGGTAGCTATTGGTTAACTATTTAGCAGTCTTATGGCTTAGGGGTAGAAGCTGTTCAGGTTCCAGACTTGGTGCATCAGTACCGCTTGCCGTGCAGTAGCAGAGAGAACAGTCTATGGCTGGGGCGGCTGGAGTCTGACACGGCCCCAGTGATGTACTGGGCTGTCTGCACTACCCACTGTAGCCCCTTGGCTGATTGTTTGACTGACAGCCCAGTGAGGCTCCATGATTTGCTGATTGTTTGACAGCCCGGTAAGGTTCTGTGATTGGCTGATTGTTTGATTGACAGCCCAGTAAGGTGAGGAGTGAGTGCAAGGAGCTGAGGATGCTGTGTGCCGAAGATGAACAGAGCAGAACCTGCTGGATGACTGCCTTCAGACTGTTAAAGGTACAGTACACACACACACACACACACACACACACACACACACACACACACACACACAACCACACACACTCACAGTATCTTCTGTTTAACTGATGTTTCAATTATATGTATTACTTAAAAATTATTTTTGTTGTGCGCTACATATATGTTCTGTTTTGACAGTATGGAATATTACTGTATCAGAACTACAAGAGTCCCCAGCAGCAGAAGTCTCCGGTCTCACACTTCTCTACTCCTGTGGTAAGACTCCTATTCACATATTTGTATTCCCTACTCTATGACTACTGGTTAGAGTTATCCTGTTTTATCCTGAATGTCAATTTACTGTTAAGCAGACTAGGATCTATTGGAGAGGGTAGCGTGGCTCAGACAACTTCTCTGTCTCTGTAGAGGAGTGTGTCTGAGAACTCTCTGGTGGCCATGGACTTCTCTGGCAGAACGGGACGCATCATAGAAAACCCTCTGGAAGCACAGAACGCCGCGGTGGAGGAGGGACAGACATGGAGGGTGAGGAGGAGAGGAGGAAGGAGATGGGATGGAAGATTGGGAAACTCAGTCTGAAAAAGGTTTACTTCTGTCATTCTAAATCTAACATTGTTTTGTTTGTTTATCTTTCTTGCCGTCAGAAACGGGGTCAGCGTATGAATGCTCTGGGCAGCCCCAGCCCCCTCCACCCATCTTCTCTCAGCTCTGGTATCCTACACTTTACATTACCTTGCTCTTATACCTGTGTAGTAGTACTGTAATAATTACACTAGTAACAACATTTAACAGTAACTTCATAAATGCTTAGTAATGGAGTTTATTGTTACACAAGTGGAATAAGAAGCAGTTCCTATAGCAGTTCCTACATCTGTGGATGCATCCCAAATGGCACCCTATTTCCTTCATTGTGCACTACTTATGGGCCCTGGTCATAAGTAGTGCACTATATAGGGAAAGGTTGCCATTTGGGATGCAGACTGCTTGTATCTCTGCATGTGTAAATGTGGATAGTGCATGTACACGTCTTGTGTTTATACTTTGAAAGCAGAAAATGCCTTTCAGACACCTGATACCTGATGTTGTTGTGTCTTTCAGTGATCCACAGAACACAGCTATGGTTCCATGGTCGCATCATTAGAGAAGAGTCCCACAAGATGATCATGCAACAAGGACAAGTAGACGGGTAAGACTTAGAAGCTGTATTATCCATCTATCCACCCACCCAGCCACCCATCCATCCATCCATCCATCCATCCATCCATCCATCCTAGTACCCACAAACCATCCCTATGTATAGATGTACAGTGTAAGTGACAATGTTTTGTGTGTGTGCGTGTGTGTGTCAGGTTGTTCCTGCTGAGAGACAGTCAGAGTAACCCCAAGGCATTTGTCCTGACCTTGTGCCACCACCAGAAGATCAGACACTTCCAGATCCTACCGGTCAGTTATTTCTACTCATCTACCTCTCTATTCTGTTCCACTTCCTTCTTGTTCATCCAGTTTGTCTCCATCTCAATTTGCTCTCACATCCTATCTCCTAGTCTCTTTCTCAACTGTATTGTATATGTGTATAATAGCTAACTTGTCTCCTCTCTCTCACAGTGCGAGGAGGAGGGTCAGATGTTGTTCAGTTTGGATGATGGTTCCACCAAGTTCACAGACCTGATCCACCTGGTGGAGTTCTACCAGCTCAACAGAGGGGTGCTGCCCTGCAAGCTCAAACACCCTTGTACCGCCGTGGCCTTGTGACCCTTCACCCCTGACCTCTGACCCATGAACCATAACCCCTGCCTTCTGGTCTCACACACTAACCTCTGTCTGCAGTTAAATTCTCTACCCCTCGTTCCCTCGATCGTCAAGTGTGCACTTATTCACTCGTTCCTCGTGGATTTAAAAGGAATGGAGCGTTGGAAGGAAGGATGCTGATGGCCCATGCTTAGTTACACCAATGCTTTTAAAATGCATGAGGGGTAGTGAGCAATTTCACACTTTGGGGGGAAGGGGTGGGGAATTAGAAAGTGGCCACACACATAGATAGACGGACAGACAGACATGTGGTGTACTATATTGGTCTGTGGAAATCTGTGGATCCAACCAAGCCCCTGTTTCCTCCTCCTTCACCCACCTCAGACAGACAGACGATAGACAGGGGGCTGGTTTCCCCGCACTTCTTTATTGATCATCAGGGATTGACATGGATCGAATAGATCACAACGATTGACCATATGTCAAATCAACCTGTGCAGTCCAGTCTTTATAAGCTGATCACCTGATGCTTCATGCTGCCTACTGGCTGATGTTGCCTGGGGTGCATCATGAAGCACGACATTGCCTGGGGGGCATCCTGAAGCGTGACGTTACCTGGTGGGCATCCTGAAATGTGACGTTACCTGGGGGGCATCCTGAAACGTGACGTTGCCTGGGGGGCATCCTGAAACGTGACGTTGCCTGGGGGGCATCCTGAAACGTGACGTTGCCTGGGGGGCATCTTGAAACGTGACGTTGCCTGGGGGGCATCCTGAAATGTGACGTTACCTGGAGGGGAATCATGCCCTTCCTCTGCTTTCCTTACTGGACCAACCATCTCACTCTATCTCCGATACTTTATACAGGGCCACGAGGAAGAGAAAAAGAAAACGACAAAAAGAACACAGAACAAAAGCAAACCGTCTTGTCCATTTGTTTGAAATGGCAGATGATTGTTTGAGATGGGGACTTCCCTGTCAGAGCTGATGTCGTTGCGATGATGTTGTATTACTGTTGCAGAACTATTTGCACTTGTGAACAGACAGCTGACAGTTGTCTTGTAAGCTGAATGAAGCTGAATGCTTCTTCTTCTCAACCTGCTCTTCCTCCTCTCTTCCTGCTCCTCGTTTCTGCGTAAGAAATCCCAGCCTGCTGATTGGATCAGTATAGCGCGGGACAGGACTGAGAGGCTGAGCGTGCTGTTGCCATGCCGTTGAGAAAGGTGACTGCTGGGCAGCTCCGGAAAGCCTCTCCAGCCTCTCTGTTCCTGCTTCATCCGGCTCCACCTGATCCCATCAGAACATTTGGAAAACCCAGAAAATTCCCTGGAATCAACCCTAAAGTTCAGAGAGATGAGAACGGAACGGAAGGAAGAGGAGGAGACGTCTCACATAGGACCCCGGAAAACCTGCCCCCTGCACCGTCAATTTGGACTGTCAAGAGTTAAATCTTTCAGGCTATGTTCCAATACCCACACTAATATTGCACTTAGAACTGATGTCCAATACATTGTTTAATTGTAAGTGAACAAAATCTCATCACCGCCAGTCAGCATTGTATGAATGTCAATAATTATTCTCCAAGTCAGTTGTTAGCTTCCTACTGCAGTCAGCATGATGATGTGTTCAAATACTATTTTATATCATTACAAATACTTTATCTGTGCTTGATTGAGCTTGCCTGGCTTAATAGACCAATAGAACAGTCCCAAAATGTCAAACCCCACCCCTCTGGCACTCCAGGCAATCTAGAGCAAACTCCCAAAGTATTTGATAGATTTCAAATAGTATTTGAACCCAGGTCTGGCTGTGTTGTCCCTGACCCACACCTTGATGTTGTAGACCGGGGGTGTCAAACTCATTCCATGAAGGACCTAGAGTCTGCTGGTTTTTTGTTTATCCTTTCAATTTGTGTCCAATTAAGACCTAGACAACCAGGTGAGGGGAGTTCCTAACTAATCAGTGACCAATAGATGTGAAAGGGCATTCATTCTCAGAATACAGGGATCCATTTAAAGCACTCCCCAACATGCCTGTATTTATGTTGAAATGTAGGCTTGGTTGACTTTGCTGCAGCCACAGTTAAATGAGTTTCCCTCGCCTTAAAGTGAACATTGTGAGCGTGTCTGTGTGTATGAAGTCATACTATTATAATGCACATAATACATTTCAGATAGAAGGATAGATGGACTATGTTCCAAATCCTCCTCTCCTGTTTAGGAATGGAAACAAGGGTCTAGCAGGAAGGTTTCTGTGAGTATTGGGACTCAGCCAGCCCCTTTTTGGTCCCATCCTGTCCCGTCCTGTTCTGTCTTGTCATATCCTGTCCTATCCTGTTCTGTCCTGTCCTGTTCTGGCCCATAGTGCTCTGTCCTATCCTGTCCCGACCTATTCTGTCTTATCCTGTCCCGTCCTGTCCTGCTCAGTCTTCTAGCGTGAGGCAGCAGAGCTGTAGGCCTAGCAAGTGTGTGACATAATACCTGCTCAAAGCTTCCACCAGATTTACTAGACACGCGCACACACACACACATACACCGTCCCGTGCCAGATTGACAGTTAATAGCAAGGGGCTACCAGGCACTCTGCTAGGCCAGCTCTCTGAATAACGTCACTCCCATCCCGTCACTCCTGAACCATACCTGACTCTACAGCTCTACAGAAGTCTGCACTACCAACCAATCACATACTTCACCTCACTCAGAAGCTTAGTCAGTCAGGGCAGGCTAAAACTTTAACCACCCCTCTGTCTCTATATGTCGCTCTGTCTCACTCTCTCTCTCTCAATCTTTGCCTCTTAATCACTGTGTTATAATGCAATCCTTCACAGAAGTCCAATCGTATGGATGTACAGTATATATAAATTCTGCATATATGAATATCTATTTTATAGAATGTGAAACTATGGAAAAGCTGTAGATCTAACACTGTATCTAGGTTACAGATCACTATGAGTGCGTTCCAAATGGCACCCTATTCCCTATATAGTGCAGTATTAACAGGAATAGGGTGCAATTTGGGAGATTGCCTATGTATTGGGCGTTATGCTTTTGATCATCACTCAGTCTCAAATGAAGATTTTTATTTTTTTCATTATTTGATTCATTGTGCATAGCCACTTGCTATTAATTTTATCTCAAATTGACCATTTATATATAAAAAATTATATACCAGAACATAAACAGTATAAAATTAAGCTATCAAACTGGACTCTTTTAGCATGCATTGAATTCTACAAGATGTATAAGCTGACTGGCTCAGAGAATGTTGAAACTGTCTATGTAAGGACTTTCGATGCTGTCAAAGTCCTGAGTCGCTGTCCTGAACATGAGACTTAGGCCAGGATTCAATCAAAGGTGCGTTGTCGACAAGCCCACTGCACTGTCGACAATGCGCCTTTTAATTGCAATTTCCCTGATGTTTGCGGAGATCGCATTTATGGTAAACGCTGCAGATGTCGGCACAAGCGTAAATTACCTTTAAAAGTGCAAAGCACTTGTTGACAAAGCACCTTTTGATTGAATCCGGGCCATGAAGCTTTCCTTACACCAGTGTTTCCCAAACTTGGTCCTGGGGACCCCAAAGGGTGCACGTTTTGATTTTTCTACCAGCTCAGTTGATTATTTGAATCAGCTGTGTAGTGCTAGGGCAAAAACCAAAATGTGCACCCTTGGGGTCCCCAGGACCGAGTTTGGGAAACCCTGCCTTACACTCAATGGTGAGAACATATTGCTTACTTCACCCATCCAGTTTTTCTGATCTAGGCCTACATCAGAAAAAGGCATGAGGAATAGTCTAGGGCAGGGGTATTCAACTCTTACCCTACGAGGTCCGGAGCCTGCTGGTTTTCTGCTCTACCTGATAATTAATTGCACTCCCCTGGTGTCCCAGGTCTAAATCAGTCCCTGAAATGCAGTGGAACTGGCTTTGAGGTCCAGACTAGAGACTGAAACGGAACCAGCTAAGCATATCTCTCGCATACATTTATCAAATAAGCCACACAAAAAAAAAGAAAAAAAAAGTAAGGTTGGCCTAATGTTTCTGCTGTGCCAGTGTAGCCTTATCCCCTCCCTGTCTCTCTGCCCTTAACTCCATGTACAGTATGCAGGGTCCTGTTCCATAGGGCCAACCCTAGCAGAATCTTTTTGCAAGGTGAAACTATAATCTTGTGTGTTTCAATTGGATATGTTCAGGTAGTTTCTATTTGTTACACTTTGTTTTAATACATTGTCTAACTGCTGAACACAACCCATCTGTTCTGCACCACTCAAGCCCATGGGCAGGGATTCAAACAAAACTGGCTCGTACTAAAACTGCAATCCACAACAGCCGACATCGCACTGCACTTGACTTTCGAGGGTAATTGATGTTTTAGCCGACACCCGCTGCATTTGCCCCGAATACGATCTCCACGAATATCAGCAAAATTACTTTTTAATAGTCAAGTGCAGTGTGCTGTCGGTGGGTGGCGCATTGCGGTTTGTTTGAATCCCGGCTCATGTCTATTAACGGAGGTGTCTGTCCACTCCTGTTCTCTCTGAGAGCTGAATGTCAGGAAGACATCTGAATCAACCACGTTGTATCTCCTGTTCAGGTATTTTGTACAAATAAGGGACTGATATATTCTCTGATTATTGGAAATTAGAAATAAAAGGCAACATTGCTATGAACCAAAAGGCTGATCTGGTCATTATTATAACATCATGTAATCATCCTGTGGCTCTGGTGAGGGGGTGTGATCAATGAGAAGGTGTTAAGGATCCATTCTCTCTGTGTTGGCAGTGTGTGTGTGTGTGTGTGTGGGGGGGGGGGGGGGGTTGCTCTCAAACGCCAAGAGAAGTTCTGCATTCTTTCAAATGCATCACACAAGTAGACTATCACTCTGACCAATAGTAGACTATCCCTCTGACCAAGGTCAAAGCACACTTTTTATTTACACACACATGCCACTATATAAATTCCTTCCTCATTTTAGTACAAGTCAAACTGCTCCTAGTCCTATCCTTA